ACTGTCAAGCAGCACCTGCAAAATTGCCTTCAGTGAGAGCATGATGTTCTGGAAATGAGAAATCAAGAAAAAAAAAAAAGAAAAAAACAAGTTAGGGGAGATTTCTGGATACACGTGCAAGTATTCTTGAATGATTAAAAAAAAGTGAAGTTTTTGTGTTTAACGATAAAAAAAAACTTCGATTTTGCACAAACTGAATAAAACCTCATAATACATAGTACGTTACGCCAGGCATAAAACAGTGCCGTGACTGATCATCGTAGACACACATTGTTAGCGTTTTTTTGCGGTTGCATCAGCACATACGAGCTTACGCAGGGTGGCTATGATCGTGTGAATCATTTAGTGCTCCTAAACTAGTAATCTGGGAATTGGCTTTTCTTCCATCTAATTTTTTAGTAACTTTACCCCAATTTTTAACTGTTCAGTTTAATTTTAGCTATTTGAAAGTCAAAGTTTTGATTCTGCAGGTTCTATGCTAACTCAGTATGTAGTACTCGTATAGTTCACCTACATAATTCTTCCCACCAGGTTCGCGTGAAAAGTGTTCTCCAAAAAAAAAGGCTCAGATGGTACCCTCTAAGTTTTTGCGGATTGCAAAAAGAAAATTTTTTGCGGAGTTCCACGCCCACTGAAAGATTTGCAGGCTAAAAAATCTAGTTTTGCGCATCTTCAAATCAAGGTGAGCTGTTTAGCTCACCTTGATTTGAAGATTCGCAAAACTCCCTCCTTCTACTCCTTCCAGAAGCTAATGACTGTCACGGAAACTGTGCCGTGTAGGTTACTACCCTTTCTAAAGGTTCTTCCAGACATTACTGCTGGGGATTTTGCTGTTTCAGTTTCCTTCACATATGGTAAAATGCTACAGCGCTACATGGAGTGTAAATTCTTATAACTGTTTTTTTCCAAGGTAAAGACACTTTTTAGGTGTTAGTTTTCCAGGTGTGTAAACCTCAATACTTCCAATTTCCAGGACGGAAGGAGGAGGAGGGTGAGTCAAACAAAATGTGCAATAGTAAGTCCAAACAATAG